GATGTGGATCTTCTGGCAGCCAGGGAACTTGAACTTGGCCCTGCGTGGGGCCTCCATCACATGTTCCTTGTTCTGCAGCTTGGTGCAGATGGACATGATGACTTGGCCAATGTGAACCCTGGCCACTGTTCCCTGGGGTTTCCCAAGGGCACCCTGCATACCTGTTTGGAGCCTAGATGGGGGACATCATGAGATCAGAAATATGTACTTCTACTCAAGGTGCCGTCTCCAAGGTCCCGTAGGGCAACCTATACAAGCAACAGGCTGCATACACTACCAAAGAGATTGCTGTTTGCAGCCATTGCACACTGGGCCACCACAAGTAAAGGAACCCAGTCGGCTTAATTAGCTGCAGAAAAAAAATTTTTTTTTTAAAGGGCTGAGGAATAGCTCAATTTCCAGTTTAAATATATACATACATACATACACACACACACACACACATATATGTATGTATATGTATAATATTTAAGATGGCAATATTTCTAAGTTGATCTACATGTTCAATGCAATCTCTATTAAAATTCCAACTCCATTCTTTTTTGAAGAAATGGATAAGATGGTCTAAAAATGTATAAGGAAATATAAGGCAGTCCAAGGAGCCAAATAATGTTAAAAAAGACTCCCACTTCCTGATTTCAAAAACTATGACAAAGCCATAGTACTAGTGCAGAAGTAAGGATAGACAGACACATAGATAAATGGAGTAGAACAGACCCAAATGGAGCCACACACTCGGGGTCAGCTGATCGTCAACAAGGGTGCTAAGACCTGTTCAAGGGAGAAGGCAGCCTTTACCACCGATGGTGCCAAGACAATGGGGCACCACAAGCAGAGGAATCGAGCGGGATCCCTGCCTCACACCATACACAAAAACACAATCGAAATTGCTCAAAAACCAAAATGGAAGGGCCCAAACTACGAAACCCTTAGAAGGAATGTAGGTCTGAATCTATAGGATCTTGGATTATGACACCTAGTTATGACACCAAAAGTGTAAGTAGCCAAAGAACAACTTGATGAACTGGATACAAAGATGCAGTTTGTACACCCAAGGACACTATCAAGAAAGTGACTTCAGGGGGCTGGAGTGGTGGCTCAGCCTAGCACGTGCAAGACACTGGGTTTGATCCTCAGCACCACATAAAAGTAAATAAAATAAAGGTATTGTGTCCACTACATCTAAAAAAATAAATAAAAATTAAAAAAGAAAGTAACTTCAGCAGAGCACACACAACATCTATTAAATTTGGGGATGGGTGTTGGTAGAGCACATGCTTAGTGTGCCCAAAACCCTGGGTTTGGTCCTCACAACCAAAGGAATAAGGGAAGGAAGGCAGGAAGGAAGGAAAAAAAGGAAAGACAGATCAACCTACAAAACAGGAGAAACTATTGCAAATCATGTATTTGATAAGAGTATAAAATCCAGAATATATGAAGAACGTACCACTCATCATCAGAAAGATAAATAACCAAATATTAAAAAGTGAGCAAAGGATTTGAACAGAAATTTCTTCAAGGAAGAGATCCAAGTGGCTAATAGGCCCATGAACATATGCTCAAAATCACTCGTGATTAGGAAAATGCAAATCCAACCCATCAGGACGGCTATAACCCAAAGGGAGCTAAGGGGCTGGCACGTGCAAGGCCTGGGTTTGGGCCTCGGCACTGCAATTCGGATAACAAAACAAGATAAAGACAGTAAGTGTGACGCTCACGTGGAGAAACTGGAACTCTTGTGCATTGCCGGTGGGAATGCCATGGGGCCTGGCTGTGGAAAATGGGCCGGTTCCCCAGACAGAGAACAGAGAACCATGGCATGGCCCAGCGTTCCTTCCTGTAGGGGTACGTGTGTCCATATAGACCTTGGTTGCCAGGGGCTGGCGGCAAGGGGAAATGGGGACTGACTGCTAATAGGTACAGGGTTTCTTTTAAGTGTGAAGAAAATGCACAACTTTTTCAATGTATTAAAAAAAAAAACAAAAAACAATGAATTGTCTGCTTCATCTATTTATTAATTTTGTTGTTTGTTTGGGTGCTGGGGATGGAACCCAGGGCCTCACACATGCCGAGCACAGACTCTACCACTGAGCTACGCCTCTAGCTCCAATTGCGGACTTTAAAATGGAATATTTATGAAAAAGATTTATGGAAAATATATTGAAAATATATTTCAATTTTTGAACAAGGAAAAAAAGAAAAAAACAGGCACAGCTCTTGCCCTGGGGAGAGTTTACATTCACACACACACACACACACACACACACACACACACACACACAC